ATCTCATATGGTCAATAGTTGTCATCAGAGATCAAAAATTCTCACAGAGAATAACAACACTGATTACGGTTCCATCAGGAGTCATCATTATTTTTTCGGCAAAAGTATGGCCAAAAAATTTCTTTCGATACTGACTGGCATATCAACTTAATCACTGTCATCTGGCTTGAGGCGGACTGTAATCGGTCTCAATTTGAAGTTATTCTTGCTGTTAACATCATATCATTTGTTTCGTTTTACTGTCGTTAGAATTGCTGAGCATGCATAATTGCATAGGAAAACGACAGATACAGACCGTAATACGGATACGATTCTGTTTCCTTCATTCGATCGTAGAATTTGTTCAGTTGTGTTTGATTCATATTGTAGGCTGATATGGTTATGATCTTCTCTCCGAATGGGTCCGATTGGACCAGTTGCTCGAATGGCAGTCTAAAACACACAACTCATAATTTCAACTCGAACTCATTCCTCCTACAGGCGATTTCTGTTCACGAAAGTGCGCTGAATGCTTCTCGCAATAGCTACCGTATCCGTTTCCTCTGATCCTATTTCCTTTACTCTCCATTTGAGTTCCCGCCTTATTGAAGCGAAGCTTTCATACAGTAACAATTCATCAGGCTCTCTATGGTTCTACTCTCATGTCAGATAGGTGGTTCATGCGGATAACTTCGTGTTGAAGTGTGAGCAGTACGTTCATATGATGGTATAAAAATAAGTAAGTAAACATAAGAAAGTAAACCGCGAGCAAGTGTGAAACAAACAAGTGAAAAACAACTCAATAAGAACGAACAGTGGAATGAACAAACCGTGTTGGAATGAATAGCAATATAGCTAAGAGATAAATTAAACATTTCCATACGGACACGAAAACGTAAGTTTTTGAACGTGTTTCGTTGAGTGTTATTGCAAAATTGGCCAACGCCCTTATCGGTGGAAACATACTTTGCGGATGTACAAAATTTGGCCACCATGCCAATGAGATCAACAACAAAGAGACTGGCACTGTCCATGAGTACGGGTAAAGTGAATGATTCAATGCCTGCAATGAGCAGCACGGATAACAACTTTAGAGCAGTTCAAGAAAGAATAACTAAGAAAGAAAAGCTCAGAAACAATGAGTGTATAGAGTATGTGAACTTTTACGACTTGAATCCAGCTTGAACAGAATCCCTTGATTCCCGAACCTCTCAAAATTTCGATCAAATTTGTGCACTTAGATCATTTAGATTCGAATTGTGAATTCTTAGAGAAATCGATGCTCTTTCAAATGGAAACTTACAGGCCAAGCCCAAAAATCAGTACTTTGAGCGACAATGCATCCAAGATCGAAGAAGATTAACAGCATTGTCAAGCGCTTCGGTTTACGACTCAATAGTGACAGGATACAAAGTATCAAACACAATGAATTGGTCAGCATCGCAGCTGAAATTCAACTGATTGCAATAATAGAGTTGATTCGAATGATTCCTGCTTACGGAATCAATGAGAAATTCGATTATGCATCCAAATATCCGTATTCAACTGAATGTGTATGCCTATGTTAAAATATGCTCAGGTTCAATGATCTCAGTTGACAGACTGATTTCCTAAAATTCATTGCTTCATGTTACAATGTATTTGACCAAACTGTATCTTTCAGAATTGTGGATACAATAAGCTTGACATCTCATGGAATCTGCACGAAATTTGCTAAGCGCTCATCATCTAAACCTGCGATTGCATTGTGAGGCAAAATCTTTGCATCACTACACGCAAAAGTCTTACTATTTAGTAGTAGTATTCAATTAGATTCCGGGACAAAACAACTGTTGAAATCTCTACCATACTGAAAAAATGTATTTTCTCACATAAATTCCAACTCATACAAAGATTCGATCGAAAACTTTTTGCCAAAAACAACGTGAAAAGAAATATATTTGTTTCTCGTAGAAGATTGTCGTTATTTTTTGTCGCTTTTCAACGCACACTTAAGTGCTCCTCTTCGAACTTTTATTGTATATTGAATAAAAACTAACAAATAGAGATTGTATGAATTGAATGTTCGTTAAAAATTCTTTACGATTGGAATGTCTAAAAATAGTGGCATCCAAGGAACTGAAAGTAAATACAATGCCAGTTTCAAGAACGTGCAACAGAACAGCTCCTCTCTCACCTGTAACTGCATCAATGTTCGGAAAGATGCGAAAAACAAGAATTCCAATTCCAGCCGCATGCAACGATTCAATGATGAAAACCTGTAAGATTTAGACTAAATTTTGTCGCTAGTCAAATGTTCTCTTCGATTCGGTTCAACAAGGTACGCAAATGAGAAATTTGAACACAAACAGTGAGATTGAGGAGTGTAAGTGCTTGATTAATGTTGAATTTTTTAACGGGATTAAATTGAAACTGAAATTATGCACTGCATCTTTAGATCACAATTGCAAATTCCTTTGCAAATTAAATTTGAGGTGCAGAATTCCTTCGCGGTTTTGTGCGCTTCATTTTGAGTGATGTTTCCAGCTTGAGTTTTCCCTCTTCTGCCTTCCGAGTCTACGAACCCCCCACTGCATTTCGCAAGTTCAGTGTGAAACTTTTTAAGCTAAATTTTTCCTCATCTGATAGAAAAGGACATGTAAAGTGCAACATTGTAACGTTTGAAATCTGAATGGAGATTTGTTTGTGAGTATAGAAATGTGTGATTGATGATACTGATATTGAATGTAACAATAATGACCATGATAATAGCAGATATATGGAATGGAAGGAAGGAAAAGTTGATAAAAATAACTGACTACAAGAAATTGTACGACAGTTGGCCGCTTCACATTTCTAAAAAGTGTTCTATGCAATGATCTGATAAAACAAATTATCTCCGGGATGCACAATGACAAATATACAGCCCAAACCCATTTTACGACGTGTTGCGGCAGAATGCGAATTCGATTCGTGGAACCTTCTGAAGATAGAATTAGAGCCTTCATTATTCCATCATTTAATGCCACTTTTATGCTACATCATTAACGATCTAACATGAATTTGCAATTTATTGGAGTGAAACATTTTGTTGTTTTTATGCTTTTTATAATCATAATTTATGATCGACATTAACTAGCTCTNTGCTACATCATTAACGATCTAACATGAATTTGCAATTTACTGGAGTGAAACATTTTGTTGTTTTTATGCTTTTTATAATCATAATTTATAATCGACATTAACTAGCTCTTTGTTATCTGTATCAACTCTTTATTGTGACTCTCCATAATCACTATTAATGATGATTCATGATTATTGCAACCAAAATCTGCTTGTTTCATTTTGTCGCAATAAAACTTTGATCATCAATCTATGTCCAGTTCTATTAGTGGAGTACTAATAACTATACCGCCCACACGACTAAGTCAGTTATCAACTGAAGATCTGCCTGCTACTGACCGAAATTCATATGTATGATTCATTATTTACACAGAACCAAACAAAATTCAGCTATACAAATACGCATTCGCGTTCCAATTCGTTACGTTGTCTCAAATCCTTTCGACCAAATTCTCTGTGGAATTATCACAAAAGTCTACACAAGATCGTTATTGATCCACCCAGTTNGATTAAACGAGGGATTTCATGAGGCATATCCATGGAACGAACTGATCAAATTTAATCATTATGGTCATTGTATGAATTATGGGATGGTCATTAGCGATAACGATTCTAATTGTCACTTTACTGTAGGATTCGTGGTCGTGATACAATAGCGACTGTAAGAATGCGAACAGAATGATCAAAAGAAAAGAACAGTGATAGCAATGAAAATGATAAAAGAAAGCATAATAGCTAACCAGGTATTTTATCGTTACATATAGTGACATTATGTCCAGCCGAGCCAATTGCAGAGGTCATCAATAAGAATGCACTTTTTGCAATTGTTGCACTAGTGAGTGTCAAAATGAAGAGTACAAAAAAGCATGATATTTTCAACACTTGAAGACTGAACGCATACCAGAAACCTGAATGTATTCAATGTTTTCCATCAAAATTGTTGTCTTCATTCATTTCATTCGTCACTTTCATGATTTCTTTCTAACATTAAGGGCATTTCTGGAGTTT